TTGTTAGGCTGATGGTCCTTCTTGAGCATGTGATCAGCTGGTTTTGGTTGTCAGCAGCAAAACTGGTTGATCCACTCTGAGAAGGTGCTATTTAAGAGACTGAGCTGAATACAGCACCTCAGACTGAGGAAGTCCTCAGGATGAGAGATGAAACGTTTCTACATTTTTTTTGTTTTGTTTTGTGTTTTGAATGTCCAGAGGACCAGATTGAACTTTTTTAGATTTTTCTACCTGGATTATTGAGCATGCATCAGAATATTTGTTGCAATGGCTCCGTGAAGGATCCTCCGTTGAAGATCACCGATCTGTTTTTTTGTTTGAGGTTTGTAAAGTGTCCTCCACTGGAGCTTCTGACCTCCGAGCTTGTCATCCCACACGCTGACAGCTCTGTTGTGCAGAGTTCTCTTGTTCAGGATCTTAACATCAGTCTTATAAAGTACTTTTGGACCCGTTCTGCACAAGTCTATCTTTGGGTCAGTGTTGCGTAGCAGAGGACCACTGTCTTTGGCAAAGTTAGGATCCTGCCGGATGTCTGGGTAAGGGTTCATTGGGTCAGGTGGGCGATTCCCCGTGGACCACAGCTGCAGGAGACACTTCTCTCCAGCTGTCATCCTCTCCTTCACCAGGTCCAGGAAGCGCTGCACCAGTCTGGCAGACCGGACCCCAAGCAACAAAACCATCTCTCGGACGCTGGAGAAGTCTGGTCCGGCCGTCTCCACCAACCGCCTCAGGGTCACTGTCCCAGATTCGCACAGCGCCTTTGACAGACCCGGCACCGTCTGCTATTACAGACGTCCATTCTCGCTTCACAAGACTAGTGGTTCCTCTAAGAGCCACTGCAGAGAATTATACGTTTTTGATCCGTTTGGCTTAAAAAATAAAACACTTTGAAGAAAGAAAGGAGACAAGAAAGAGGAAGAAGAAGGAAGCAAGTGTTGTCATCGAGTTTCTATATGATGATGAAATTAGTTCTCTGTATTTAACCCATCACACCTGAGATACACCCAGGTGGAGCAGTGGGCAGCTATGTAAGCGCTCGGGGAGCAGTTAGGGATTAGTTGTCTTGCTCAAAGACATTGATGTGTGTGCGTGGCGGGGATTTGAACCTGAGACTTTCTGATCCCAAGTCCTCTGCCCTACCACATCCTTAGTGGTGCATTTCACATATATAACTGTTTCCCAGCATGCCCTCTAAGTGTCGCCAATGGACCAATAAAGTTTTTACACTAGAGTTGGCACAAGGATGTGCACGTGTCCACGATCGTTTCA